ATTGGGACCTGTTAGGATAAGAAGGTGGAAGCAAGGACAGGAGGCATGAATTTGGAAAGTCGAGAAACTGACATGGTTAGTGGTAGGTGACACAGCCAGCCTGCATTTTTTTGGAGGGAGGCTGACAAAGGTCCCTGACTTTCTAGCCAGCCATGTTGGGGCATTTCCCCAGTTACTAGTGAGGGGTAGAAACCTGGCCTCTCGTGATTGCCATCTGGGCATCTCTCATCAGCATCCTGTACTCTTGACGGAGGCACCTTTAAACCCACGGAAAAACCGGGAACGAGCTGCTGAAGTTTTCTTTGAGACCTTCAACGTGCCTGCCCTTTTCATCTCCATGCAAGCTGTGCTCAGCCTGTGAGTAGCAGCCTGGCAGGCTAGCCTGGCCACCTGGGCGGGAAGCAATCTTTTGGTTGAACAGAGGTGGCCTCTCCTTGGGGTTGTTGGTTCAGAGTGACTTGAGCGCCCCCTGCCAGGGAAAGGTTGAAGGTAATGGGGAGGGGAGTATTGAGACCAGTTCTCAGGGCCCCTACTCTCAGCAGGTTTGGCACCTAAGGGTCTGGGCTGGACTGCTGGGAAGGCCACATACATTAGAGCCCTTCCTGAAGGCCCCTATAATATGTTCAGGTGTTTATTCAGGGCCTACTTGGGCCAGGTGCTATGTGAAGCTGGTGAAAGGAATGTGACAAAAATACCACATAGTCCCTGTTCTGACCTCCCTGTCATTCTCCCAGCCTGCCTCACAGCAAGCTTAACTCTGCTCCCGAGCTTGTACACCAGTGACCTGCAAGTAGAATGTTTCACCCCATTAAGAAACTGAATCAGCGTTTAAAAATTGGGAAATTTCCTAGCAAAATCCAAATTTCTGGCTTCTCTGGGGGAAATGGAAAGAGCTGGTAACACTGGGCCTGAATTCCTATAGGGCAGAATCAGCTGGAGCTGACGTAGCAGCTGCCATTTTAGATAGGGTTTGCAAGCTTGACTTCACCGCAGTCCACTCCATTCCCTGCTGTACTCCCAACTCTAGGACATTGTCAGTTGCCATTTATAAACATCATGAATTCTTTCCCCTCATATCACAGAAATATATGCCTGTGCCCTTGTTGTGACCAAAGAGAAAAGAAAACTTGACAGACCTAGAGAGCCATGTGGCGAAAAAGCTACTTTGTTCTATGGATGTGCAAATATTCTTTTTTTTAAGATTCATTTTTACTTATGCTTAAAAGAACTGGGGTACAGGCCAGAGGTGTGGGAGGGTGAGAGGATTCACCAGAGACAGAGTGGGGAGCAGAACAGGCGGATCAACTGCATGACACTGCTGAGGGCAGCAGGGGGCGAGACAGGAGAGGTCTGCTGTGCCATGTGGGTCAGCTCTCTGGCAGGGGATCGAACTCATGCTGAAGTGGCTGGTGATAGCTTGATAGCACTGAGACTTTAACCCCTGAGCCACCAGGGGGGTCCAGACGTGAAAATATTCTTATTTTCCTTCACTCGTTTACTTTTCTTGCTTCGCCTCTGTAGGATTTTTCCTCTTGTTTAGAAAGTAAAAATTGCCCCTTAGGCCTGGTCCCTCAAGCAGGTCAGGCCTGCTTCTCTGGGAGTAGGGGGCCTTGGAGAAGCTCAGTGTTTTTCATTCAGGTATTCTAAGACTTGCTTTAGTGCCCAGCTTTCTTTGTGCTCAGTCCATTCTGAGGCCCTTGGAGAAAGCAGGCCCAGGCTTCATTTAGCTCACATGAACACTAAAAACAAATGAGATTATTCCCAGAATGAGGAGGCAGGATTAATAATTGTGCCCCTTTGCTTCAGTTACGCCACTGGCAGGACCACGGGAGTGGTGCTGGATTCTGGGGATGGTGTCACCCACGCTGTGCCCATTTATGAGGGCTTTGCCATGCCTCACTCAATCATGCGCATCGACATCGCTGGCCGAGACGTCTCTCGCTTCCTGCGCCTCTACTTACGTAAGGAGGGCTATGATTTCCACTCTTCCTCGGAATTTGAGATTGTCAAGGCCATAAAAGAAGTGAGTGCTTTCCCCTGGGCCCCAGGATGGATGGGAAGGGGAATAGCGCAGCCAGGACCTCAGTGACCTTGAATAAAGAGAGGCAGACTTCCAGGGGGTTGGGAGCAAGTGCCCCCGGCCAGACTCTGTTCTCCCCAGCCAGACTTACTGGCAGCTGTGTGATCTGAATCTCACCTTGACAGATTCACCTTCCCCAAGTGCTGCCATCTTGAGGGGGGAAAGAGCTGCTTCTGTATTTAAGCTGGGTAATGGGTGTAGGGGGCGTTCATTATGTTTTCTATACCTAATGTACAAATTATGTTATGTTTCATACATCATTTAAGAAGCCAGAATGCATGTTTTGTTTGTTTTTTTTTTTACACTTATAAGGGACAGAGTGATTAGGAAAAGGAGAAGGAAAGAGAGAGGTACCTGCATAATCATATGCAGGCAGGAGAGCTACAGTTTTTGTTTGTTTTTAAGTAAACTCAGCCCTCCTGCCACCTCTGGCTCTAGGGAAACCTCCAGCTGAGTAGGGGGACCCAGTGTCCTGTGAGTACTTAGAGACAGGTGCCTGGGCCTGGAGTAAAATTAGGTTGTCGTCTCAGACCCAGATCCAAGAAGCTAAGTTTTGAAGTTTGCCCACCAAGGGGTGGAGCAGGTAGAACCTAACCTCATGCCACCCAGTGAAGGCCAACGGAGGCCTCCCTATTCCTGCTTCAGGGCAACAGCTCTTCTGACCTCCAGGTCAGAAGAACAGCTCTTCTGACACATCCAGGATGGTCACTGTGTGGGGGCAGATTTCTGCAGCAGCACATCACCCCCCTGACCGAATAGGTACCGGGTTTCCTGCTGGCCTGACTATTGTGCTTGGTTCTGCAGAGAGCCTGCTACTTGTCCATAAACCCCCAGAAGGATGAGACATTAGAGACGGAGAAGGCTCAGTACTACCTGCCTGATGGCAGCACCATTGAGGTAGGTGGCCACACCTCTCCCTTTGCTTCCTTCAGGCCCCCAAAAGCTCAGAATGGGGACAGGGAGCGGGGTGGTGAGTGCTGTCCTTAACCACTTGGACATAGGGTAGAGTGAGTGAGTTGCCTTTCCTTGCACCTCTGTTGACAGGAAGAAACACCCATGTACTAATGAGTGTGTCTGTTAATGCCACAGGTCTTCCAGCGGGATTAAACATAGGCGCTTCTTCCCTCTCATTTTCCAAGAGCCCTATTTGTTTCTATTTGTTCCCAGGAGCCCTGCTTTACTCCTTGAGTCTCCTGACATAGATCTTTCCCAAGTCTGGCTTTCACAGCCACCTGAGGAAGAGAAAATAGGCAGAGGGTTCATTTCCATTCCTGTCCCCAAAGGGACTGACCCAGCCTCAAACTTGCCCTCCACCCTGCAGATTGGTCCTTCCCGATTCCGGGCACCTGAGCTGCTGTTCAGACCAGACCTGATCGGCGAGGAGAGTGAGGGCATCCACGAGGTGCTGGTGTTTGCCATCCAGAAGTCTGACATGGACCTGCGGCGCACACTTTTCTCTAACATTGTCCTCTCAGGAGGCTCCACCCTGTTCAAAGGTTGGTTTTGCTCTCAGGGCCCTTCCCTAGGAAGTTTCCAGATGCTGCTGGGCCCATACACCTAGAGAATTGACTGGAGGTTCTTCTTCCTTCCCATTCAGGTTTTGGTGACAGACTACTGAGCGAAGTGAAGAAACTGGCTCCTAAAGACGTGAAGATCAGGGTAGGACCATGGTGGGGGCTGGGCTGGGTGCAGCTGGAGTGCCATGTGGCAGAGTGCCATGTGCTCCCACTCTTTTCAGGCAGCCGAGGCTACACAGGTCCCTCCAGGCTGCTCCAGGCTTCCACCCTGCCTCTGAAGTCTGTCACGGGAAAGTCCATTCTCAATTCTCTCTCTTCACAAAAGGGGGGCAGTCCTAATAATACCTAGCTGTAGCAAGTGTAAGGCTGAGGGCCCCACCTGTGGTCTTTCTGGAAAACTGCCATTGACAGGAACTTAACTATTGCTGCTCCCCTGTGACACATCCAACATTTTAGAGACTTCGGAGGGGAGCTGGCCTGCCTGAGCAGAGGAGGAATGCTAAATGAAGGAGAGTAGGGCCTAGCCCCCTCCCCCCGAGGCAGGCTGAATCTTTCCCTGGATAGCTTCTCTGGGAGCTGTAAATACTTCGGGCTGCTGGAAATCTGCTTCTCCAAAAGAGTGTCACATGGACCCCAGCTCCCCCAGAGAGGCCACAGGGACATAGCTACGTAACATTTTGTGAGAAATGCCTCTACTGCCTTGGGTGCTAAGAATTGGGAATGAAGATGAGCTGGGGGGTGGGGGCGGGGAGCAGGTGAAGTCTCACATTCTTCATTCCACCCACCCTTGCAGATATCTGCACCTCAGGAGAGACTGTACTCTACATGGATTGGGTGAGTAGTTCTTCCGGGAAGCTAAGGCATTGTTCCACCTCCCCACCACATCCCTTTAAAGTTTGGCCCTGTGGGGATGGGCTAGCTCCACAAATGTCCACTCTCTCTCACAATGTTCCTTTGGATTCCCTCCACTGCAGGGGCTCTATCCTTGCCTCCCTGGACACCTTTAAGAAGATGTGGGTTTCCAAGAAGGAATATGAGGAAGATGGTGCCCGATCCATCCACAGGAAAACTTTCTAATGTTGGGACATCATCTTCACCTCTCTCTGAAGTTAACTTTAAAACTCGCTTTCTTGAGTCGGAATGTTTGTGAGGAACTGCTTGTGTGTGTGAATGTGTATGGGTGTGTGGGTGCGAGTGTGTGTACATATGCGAGTGCCGTGTGGCCCATGGATCCCAGGGCCTATAAAGGACGATGAACTAACCATAATGGTGATGGCCCGAGGCCTGGGGTTGACCACTAACTGGCCCCTGACGGGGAGTGCTGGCAGAGGGCCCCACTCCTCCGTCAGCTGGGCCTTTGTCTGTGTGGGACTATGTTTACTACCAGAGGAAGACAGAGAGGGAGGTAAACCTAACCCCAGGAGATCTTGCTGCTGCCCATCCCAGGTGGGGCTGCCCCACGCTCACCCCCACCCGCAAGGTGCCGAGGCCCAAGGCAGCTGCAATCTCCCCTTACTCATTCTGCTCTTGATGCCTCTTGATCATGGCTGAGACTTGGAGCCGGGGTTGAGTTCTGTCTAGTTATGTTGCAGTTTTGATTTGGGAAGATGGACAAGCACTCCAGGAGCTATTACTGATTCGGGTCAGAAGGCAGGCTGCCTTCAACCTCCCCTGGGGACCAGGACCACAATGGGCATTTGAGGAGGGCAGGCGTAGTGCCACTTCAGATGGACACCAAAGTTTATGCCCCAGTCCCCATCCAGGCTTAAGGAGCCTCTTGACTCCAGGCCCTGTTACTTTTCCTTTATCCTTGGGCAAGGCCATCTTCAGTTTTATTTATTGAAGTGTTTGTTCAGTTTGGGGACTGAGACAGGGAGCTCACTGCCTCCTGCTACAGTCGCCCTGTTCACACTAATGTTTACAGCACCTAAGCTTAGCGTAGCACCCAGGGCCCTGCCACTCCCTGCTGATGGCAAGCTGACAGTATCCACAGGTCTCAGGACCATCTGGGGTCTAGGCTGCATCAGTCACTCCACTTTCCTCTTCCCTCTTCCATTTGCTTCCTGCCCTGGAATCAGCAGGCTGGTCATTGGTTGGATTTTCTGAAGTAGAAGGTAGAATCACTTATTGGCAGAAGCTCCTAGCAAAAGACGAGTGTTGGGGATTCCAGCCCCTTTAGGACTAGAGAAAGAGCTGCAATTGACCAAGTTGCCTTTTCCCACTCCGGCTGATGGAGGTGGCGGGTGTGCAGTTGTTGTAACAACGAAAGGCCCCCTCTAGGATGATTCTATGCCATTCTTGACTTTGGACTTGCTTACAGAGGGAGGAGACCAGGCCATTGTACCCAGAGCTGAATGCCAAGACCCGGGCTGATCTCTGGTCTAGGTGCCTCCCCTGGACTAGGTTGTGCAGCAGCGATCCAAAGGCCCTTCTGCCCAGATGGTGCAAGGCTGGGGCTAGCACATCTTCACTGGCACTCTCACCTGTGACACCAAGACCTACCCCCATCCCAGGTTCCATCAGTATTCTCCCCCATGCCGTCCAATGGCCAAAAGGCCCTGCCAGGTATGGGCCACAGCAGCAGGTGTGTGTGAAAGCGACGTGGCAACCCGTGGACTGCAGTGTGCTTAACCAGCTCACCTCCCTTCTCTTAGCCCAAGCTTATCCCTCGCACAGCCTCACACAAACCACATTGCCTGGTGGGGCCCAGTGTACTTAAATAAAGTTGTTCCAATAGACATGTCAGCTGGTCTGTTTGAAGCTGGAGCTGTGGGCCCTGAGGTGGTGGGCTGGGCTTCAACCATTCTCTAGAGGGAGCTGTTGCACTGGCCAGACCTGGCCAGACCTCAACCCAAGTCCCAGCCTGTCCAGATACAGAGCAAACAGTGTTCATGCCAAAGCCCTGGTTCAGGAACTGAGGGTCTCAATGCACAGGGTCTCAGTGAGCCCTGTGCACACATTCAAACGCAAAGGTGCGACTTCATGCTGAATGTAGGGAGCAAGTCAAAAGAGCAAGACAGCTCTCTTTTTAAACTCATACTTAGGAAAAACTGCCAAGCCCATTACAAATGTTCAACCAACGTGTGATCCAACAACCCTACAAATGTCTTTATTACTCATTTTACAGAAGACAAAACAGAACACAGAAAGATTAGGTGTTTTCCTAAAACTCTGCCCTTTGTTAGCTGGCATTGGAACCAGGCAATGAAGCTTTAGAGCTAAAGTTCTTAACCACGGAGCAGACCCTCAAAAAGCCACTGACCTACAACAGTGGTTCCCACTGGAGGTCAGTTTTGCTCTCCAAGACACAGTACACAGTTGGCAAGTCTGGAGGTGGCTGGGGAGTGCTGCTGGCACTGGGTAGGGCCAGGGATGCTGCTAACACCCACAACAAAGGACTACCCAGCCCTAAATGTTCTAGAGCCAAGGTTCTCAGTCTCAACTATAGGAAAAATTACCAGAGCTGCCCAAAACCGCAGTGCCCAGGCTATCCCCCCAAACCCGGGGAGTCAGAATCCAGGAAAACAAAACTCAGACATCAACATTTTTTAAAGTTCCCTAACTCTCAAGGTTGAGGCCCTCTGGACTGGAAGCGGTGCCCTTACTTGCCCACCATGTCCAGAGTGGCACGTGGGCATGCACTAGGGCCACAGCTGCCCGCCTGAAAGCCATCTCACTCCCAAGTCCCCACGCAGCTATCTGTACATTCTCCCTGTTTCCTCATTGAGTCCAATGTGGTGCCCTCCTAACCTTTGGAAGAAATGCTCTTATTAAGTGAAGAACCCTGTTCTCCAACCCACCACCCCCACACGCAGCACAGACCTCAGTAATGGGAACAGAATGACTGACTAAACAGTCCAACGAGATGCACCTACAGAGGCCGGGTGGGTTTGGGGGCGCCATTTAACATTGGCAGCGTGCTAGTTCAGGCATGGCTGAAGCAGAGAATTCTGAGGGAAATCACTGGAAGGGAGGTGACGTGGCACTTCCAATCTGCTTCCCCTGGTGGGAAGGGAGCGGTTGCAGTATCAAAAGTGGCTGCCGCACCCCCTCAGAGCGCCAGCCCAGATGGATATTGGGACAGGGAATCCCTGCCCGGCAGCAGTCCATCCCTTTCTTGGTCCTCTTCATTCTCCTGCCCCACAGTTGGAGGCAGATCCCTGAGCACATACATCCTAGCCCTTGCCCATGCTAGACTGCACAGCCAAGCAGAATCTTAGACCCCGTGACACTCCTGGCTTAGCCCCAAGAGCCCCCATTCTGCCATCTGTTCTCCAGCCGGCAACCAAGAAAGGCAGAGGAGTAGGACACCAGATGGGCAAACATGGCTCCTTCCCGGGGCTGTGGGCAGTGTCCCCAGCAGAATGCCTGGCCACACTGCTCACACTGTCTTAATGTCCATGGTTTGGGCCTGGGACAGGTTCTGGCGCTGGGCTTTGACCATGTGCAGGCGTCTCCCATGCAGCGTGAACTGGGACCAGGTGAACAGCTGCAGCAGAGCACAGATGATGGGCACAAGCACCAGCAGGTAGAAGCAGCCCTGGCGGAGCGTGGGGGCCTGCGCTGGGGGTGGGGCCGGGGGCTCTGGCCAGGGCTGGGCACTCCCCACAGGAGTGAGCGGGGGCTGCTGGAAGAGATCATGACCTAGGACAAGAGCACGCAGGAAGAACATGGTCAGCCCTAGTCTCCTCTGAAGCCCACGTCACCACATCTCTGTCACATGCACATGTCCAAATAGTATTCCTCACTCCTTCCCCAAACTTGCTTCTCACCCCACCCTCTGCCATTCCCTTCTTAGTGAATCCACCCAGTAACATGGGCCAACACCCTCAAAGTCATCCTGCATTCGTCGGTTAAGTTCATCACTCGTAACAGTCAACCTTCACCTTCCCCAATGCCAAAACACACCTCAAATGCAAACACTTCTTTCTAGCACTCCCAGGGCCACCGTCGTACAAGCCTCCACTGCCTCTGTCACAGCCTTCCCACAATCCATTTTCCATATAGCAGCCAGAGTCAGCTTTTAAAAACAAACCTATTTGCGCCGAGAAAAATCCTAACCCTGCTGCAATCTATAGTGTCCTCTTCCCTCTTCCAGCCTCACCTTCTAACCACTTCCAATATCTTAGGCCTTTGCACTTGCCACTCCTTTCTGGGCTTTTTTTTTTTTTTTTTTTTAAACAGATTTATTTATTTATTTATACAAGCACTGGGTACAGTCAGAAGTGCGGGAGGGTGAGTGAATTCACCAGAGCCAGAGTGGGGAACAGAGCAGGCAGGCTGACGAAATACACTGCTGAGGGGAGCAGCGGGCGCAGCAGGAGAGGTCTGTCACGCCATGTGGGACCCTTGCCGGTCGGGGATCAAACCGCGCTGCAGAGGCTGCGGGCAGCCTCACAGCCCAGCACTCAACCGCTGTACCACCAGGGGCGGCCCCTGTCTGGGATTTGCTGAGATCTTGCAACACCAATCCTTGCCACTCAGTGGACATCCTAGGTGTCACTAGGTCCCTCCTCAGAGAGACCTTTCTGATTCACGCGAAGCAGCTTCTCAGTCACACTATTTTTACCATCACACTTATCACTACCTGCTATTTTCTTCTTTGGCTGTTTATTGCCAACCTCAACCCACCCCGCTGACTAGCTATAAACTCCATAATGGCAAAGACCTTGTCTATCTCACTTATCACCCAAGAGGCACCAAGGGTAGCACCTGGCAGAGAAGGTATTCTCTACATATTTGCTGAAAGAATGAACCACTGAAAGAACAGAAGAAACAGAGTTCCACTTCCACCCTCCCCAGAGGTGGGGTGGCAGCCCAGGACAACCCAGCACAGCCCCTGTTGGCCAGCTGCATTCTCTCCCCTTCACTGGACTTGAGTGCCAAGTGAGCAGTGCTCCCTGGAGCTTCGAGAGCTCTGCCAGCCCCTAGACTCTTACCTGTATAGAAGCACAGCAGCCAGGTGCCCAGCAGCGGGGCAAAGGTCTGGCCTGGCTTGGTCACCAGGGCAACCATGCCAAAGAGGAGCGCCGAGGCTGCCTGCTTGCGGTGGTTCAATACCAGGTCCTCATCCACCAGGTCAGTGACCACCAACGTCAACAGCTTACAGGTGCCCTCAGTGAAGACACGGTTGCTGCCGGGAGAGAGAGCAAGGAAGAGTGAGGAATGAGTCAGAGATGTGGGGGTGAGGGAGGGCAGGGCATACCTGGCAATGAAGAGGCAGAGCAGGCTGGGGTGGTCCGGGCCAGCCAACAGCATAAGCAGGCTCAGGCCCAACTTGAGCAGGAAAAGACCCCGTACCACGGCATAGACACCCCAGCGGCGGCACAGGGGCAGGAAGTAGAGGTTGTTGAGGTGGGGAGCGACATAGGAGATGCCTGGGGAGAAGGTGTGGGGCCTTGTCAGAGAACAGGCACAGTTCTCACAAGGATCCACATTTTAACCCTCAAAATCAGAGTTTGCACTGAGAGACGTGCCAGTCTCTGAGTTAAAACACCCCAGTGGTATCTTTAATCTCCACAGCCCTTAAGATAAGTACTATTATTACCTGTACTTAACAGATGGAAAATGGAGACCTAAATAGATTGGTTAAAACACACCTAAATAACCAGAGTTATAACCAGAATAACCAGAGTGAAGACTCACAGTCCTGGCTGTGCCACACGGCCTGCAGGTGGTACCATCCCCAAAAGGACAGCATTGAGAGCCGCTCTACCTGCCTCAGGCCCACCATCAACTCTGCCCCTTCTTGAGCTGGGGGCTTGAAAGTGACCCCCACAGCCACCCAGCTGGAGAAGTAGCCATGCCTACAGCTGGGCTAGAGGTTCGGAGTACAAGCCTCTGTCCGTCCAGCCTGCCCATGCACCCACTCACCCAACAGGAAGGAGCCCGTGGAGAGGGAGATGTGGTCTGACAACAGATGCTCCAGGAAGAGAGGGAAGAAGTTGCTGTTGAAGTGGCAGTGAAAGACCTGCAACCCAAGAGGGGAGTGAGAGGCTGCCAGTGCCAGGGCAGCCAGGAATAGGGCGAAAGCCAACAGGAGAGCACGTGTCCCTTGGTCCTCGGCAGCAAGAGCAGCCTCCATCCCCATTCCCTAAACAAGGAACATGCCAGAGCAAAATCTAAAGCCAAATTCCTGCCGCTTATCTAAATTCTGCTAAATGTTACAAGAAATGATAAAATTGCCACTAGAACAATTAGAAGATTTTTCCTTTTACTTGGAAATATCTTAATGAGAAAACTTAATAGCATTAAAATAATCTATTTTAAAATATGGTTAGTTTACACACTACATGTTTTAGGTGTGGCACTTGGTGTTTTAAAAGATTGTCACAGAGTCCCCAAAAGGCACCTTTTCATATCCTCACTTTGCAGTATAGACACTGCCTGAGAGGCCGAGACTTGTCTGAAATCACATAGGGAGCTGGGAGCTCAGATGGTGCTAGAATCTAGGTTTCCTAACTACCCAACCTGTGTTTCTGCCATCCAATCACCCAGCAGTGCTCATGGGAGGCCTAGAACTGATTTCTTAGCTTTTGAGGAGCCTGTCCCCACCTCAGGGGAGGAAGGTGGGGGGTCTACTCCCCTTACCTGCACCAGGTCCATGCCCACGAACCACAGGAAGTTCCTGTGGTGTGCCAGCTGCCGGAGATACTGGCCCAAGGTGATGCTTCCCGCCTCCTCACGGCCTACAATCAGCTCCTCTCCACACAGGCTAAGGGGCACAGGGGAGTCAAGAACAGCCTAGGGCTGGATGAGAGCCTCCCCGCCCAGGGCAGTCATCCATTAGTCAGGGGACCCAGTGTTGAAATCAGCCTCAGAGGGTGCCGACAGAAACCGGGAGACTGGGGCTGGCTACTCACCCACCATCCACAGCCATGGCCGGGCCCCCTGGCTCCCTGCCGGCCACCTCAACACGCCGCCTCAGCAGCCGTGTGGCCCCCACAAAGCCCAGCCCAGAGCCAGCGGCCAGTGCCACACAGAAGGCGCGGAAAGAAGAGAAGTCCTCCTTGTTCCAGAAGGCATAGGAGGCAAAGACAGAGAGGGAGCCAGCCGCACTGAAGAGGGAGCAGTAGAAGTTGAGGTGGGTACGGTCGTGGGCTGAGAGGGCCAGGTCAGCCAGCAAGGCGTGATGGTGCAGGTCCACGAGCGTCAGGAAGCCATCATAGAGGCACAGGCACAACAAGAACTGCAGGCCAGCTGGGGCCCAGGGCACCCAGAATGCCAGGAACGACAGTGCCAGCAGGGGCCCATGCCAGCCCAGTGCCCGCACCCGTGTCAGCACCACAGCCCTCGAAGAGAGCCCAACGCCCGACCTGCCAGGGAGAGGAGGGGTGTTGGGAGGTGTGCTTGCAGCCTTAGCAGGCCCAGTTGCCCTGCCCCAGAGGAGGGATAGTGGTTCCACTGAGCCTGAGTCCTCGGCCTCTGGCTCAGGAAACACAACCCACCAGTAGGCACACTCTCTCCTCTGCCACTTGCCAGCCTTCAGGGCTGATGGCCAAAGGGTGATGGGATGCCCATTTCTCAGGGTTGGGGACAGTGATGGGCCCAAGCAGGGATGGGATAAGGGAATCTGCCAGAAGCAGCAGGTGATAGTGGCACATCACCCAGTCCTAAGGACACGACAAGCCAAGCCAGGGCAAATCTCTCCCCAGGTGAGCGAGGCAAGTTAGTCAAGACCCCTTCTCCCACCTGAATTCCGGAAGAGAGGAAGCCTAACAACACTGAAAATGGGCCCCCTTTCTTTCCTCACCCCAGATATGGGCAGGGCCCCCCAAGGCCTGAGGAGGGGTGGGGTGAGTCAGAACCACTATCAGTCCCCAAGACACAAACCGGGGCTGTGAGCTGAGGAAATGACGGTCACTCAGCCAACCGAAGAGAGGGTCGTTGAGGCTGTTCCAGAGGAGAAACACGGTCTGTGGGTAGAGGGGAAATGCGGCAGGCAGGCTTCACACAGCCTCCTCTCCTCTTCCCTACCCCAACCTGTTCCCCACCCCTCAGAGATCGCCCCAGCTTTCCTTCCTGCAAACCTTTGCTCATGTCAGTCCCTCTGCTAAAACCCACACTACCAGCCACTGCCCCCATCAAACTCCCACCTACCCAGGGCCCAGTCAGTAAATATAGCCCAGCTGACAGCAATGCACGTGAGTAATCCATGCAAATACCAAGAACAGTGCACGGTGTACAGGACAGTGGTCAAAAAAGCTGGTCTAACACCCACTGAGAAGGAGCCATCAAGGCCTCCAAAGCTCCAGCTTTTCTTGCCAAGACTTGGTGGGGAACCTGGCCTGCCCCATGCTCCTAACTGAGTGGGACCCCACAGCACAATCTCCCCACCCCCACGTGGGCTGCCCCCAGCCCCAGCACTGGCCTACCTCTCCGACCCAAAAGGCCACTTTGTTGATTTTGTACACCGAGACAAAGGTGTCCACGTAGTAGAGCAGAAACACATTGTGCAGGACAGAGATGAAGAGGGCCAGGGAGCCATAGACCACGGCTGTTGGCAGGCTCAACAACCAGGACTGGGGCCCACGCAACCCCATGGCTGCCATCCCAGCTCAGCCCCAGGAGCACTGAGGAGGGCTCACGGCCACAGGTAGTCTGGCCATCCTTGATCCTAGAGAAGAAATAACAGTTAGCTGCAAGGATAAGAGCCAGCTCTGCTCTATCCCCAGACTTGAGTCATTTAAAGACTCATTTCCACTGGGAGAAAGTTTGTACAACAAACAAAGCTGGGGACTCGTCAATGAAGTACAACTGAACAATGCCGAGCTGGCGACCGCTAGCCAGGAGTCAGCCAAGGAGACTGAGAGCGTGTGGGAAGAGAAGGCAGGCATCCAAGAAGGGCCGAGCTGGGTGGCATGCTAGAGCCATGTGCTTGGGACCTTCTTTCATCCCCACTGCCCAGCCTTAACATTCTGAATGTGACACCCCTGCGCTTGGACACACAATGTGCCTACAGTACAACCTCAGGCAAGCTACTAAACCCAAGGGTCAGTTTCCTCTGTAAAAGGGAAAAGGGGATGATTGTGCCTACCCTGCAGAGGAACGTGAGGATTATATGAGGTAACTCACACAAATGTTCAGTAAATGGAACTCAGTGGTGCCATTACTAGCTTTATAAAAACTCTGCAAAGTGGGGGCCTCCCTGGTGGTGCAAGGGGTTAAGACGCAGCACTATGAAGCTATCTGTAGCCACTGCAGCATGAGTTCAATCCCCGGCCAGGGAGATACCCACATGGCGCAGCATACTTCTCCTGTCTTTCCTGCTGCTCCCCTCAACAGTGTATTTCAGTACATCTGCCTGTTCTGTTCCCCACTCTGTCTTTGGTGAATCCTCTCACCCTCCACATCTCTTGCCTGCACCCCAGCGCCTTAAAAAAAAAAATCCCTGGGCCTCCCTGGTGGCGCAGGCGGCTGAGCGCCGCACTGTGAAGCTGTCCACAGCCTCTGCAGCGTGGGTTTGATCCCAGCCGGCCGGTGAGAGTCCCACATGGCACAGCAGACCTCTCCTGTCACGCCCGCTGCTCCCCTCAGCAGTGTATTTCATCAGTCTGCCGTTCTGTTTCCCACTCTGTCTGGTGAGTCCTCTCACCCTCCCGTGCATCTGGTCTGTATCCTGGTTCTTATATAAATAAATCAATCTTTAAAAAAAAAAATCCCTGCAAAGTGTATGACACTATTACAATGGTATAGGAGGGCAACCCCAAGCTCAGAGATGTTAAGTGATTTGTACAATGTCACACAGTAAAACAAAACAAAACAAAACAAAACTCTAACAGATTTGAGCCCTGGCCTGACTCCAAAATCTTTTCTGCCACTTTAACCTCCCCAATGGGAGTCCCTATGTGCACTGGGTAGAACAGTGACACCTATGTGAGGTTAGATTCCATAGGTACCTGACAGCAGTGTGACAGGTCCACCACTGCTCATACACTATGATTCCAGAAATGTCTTCCCAAAGAACTAATCTGAAAGGAACCGGCACAAAGATGTTCGTGGCAGCAACATACAAACAGCAGAAAGTGCTGTTTGTGCCAGAAAATGCCAGCCCAAGAGCACAACAAAGGCTGGCTCAGCAAGCCCAGGGCTTGCCAGAAAGGGTAAGCACATGGATACCCTCGACATGGGAGGAAAACTCGAGAACACATCACATAAACAGAGAACAAAGGACAGGGTGGTGCCTGGCTGCCAACCAGGCACTCTCGTGCAGACTGACCGCTTAGACTGACCGTGGCGGGAAAGGAAATAACAGTCAATTTTTATTAGAGCGGCACTTCTTAACCTGCAATGTGCCTACGAACCATCTGGGGACTTTGTCAAAAGATAGATATTGATGCAGGAGGCCTGGGGAGGTCCTGAGAATCCACTGCTGCTGATACAGGACCACACGTTAAGCAGCCAGGTATTAAGTCTTTCTCTTTTTTTCAGATGTATGCTCGTGTGACACTCCCAGAGGGACTTCCTTCTCTCAAACTCCCAGTTGTGAGTTGAATGGAGTACCCAAGAATGATGCCTTCAAGTCCTAACACCCAGCCTTATTTGGACCTAGGATCTTGTAGATGTAACCAAGTTAAGATGAGGTCAGCCTGGCTGAGGGTGGGTCCTAATCCCATGCCTGGTATCATTAGGAGAGGGAAACTGAGGACAGAGACAGATACACACAGAAGGAAGACCACATGGGAAGATGATTGCAGGCAGCCACCAGAGCAAGGAGAGCAAGGAAGGATTCTCCCCTAGAGCCTCCAGAGGGAACAAGACCTTCTGAGGCCTTGATTCTGACTTCTCCCCTCCAGAACTGTGAGAGAATGAATTCTGGTAGTTTTAAACCACCCAGTTTGTGATCTTTTGTTCCAAAAGCCTACACACCCTCAGCCCTCAGGGGCTGACCCTCTGTGAGGCCTGTGACCCTCAACCCAAACCTGTCCTTGCTCACCTAAATGGCCCTGCACATGCATACATGCAGAGTGGAGACTTCTGCCCCCATCAAAATCATGCTCTGGAGACCAACCTCAGCCCCAGTCTAACAGCAGCAACAGGGACTCCATGGCACCTGTGTGCTGAGGTGGCACCTAAGACCGAAGTGGCTTCCGCCTCCCAACCTCCAGGGGCCACTGCCCCTGGACCCTTCCAGCCTGTCCAACTGGACCCGCCTCTTTGGAGTTTGAAGCCACCCTTCCCTCTAACCAAGCCTTTGTTCTTACTGCTGCCTCCCACAAGAAGTGCCCTCTGCATTTCATCATACCTGTCTTCAGGAGCCAACCCCATAACCAGATCTCCCTCGCTGCTCCCTCCTGTTCCTGCACAGCAGACCCTCTGACCTCCCCCCAACTCCAACCTGACTGTAGGGTTTTCAAGGGCAAGGTCTGGTCTTTGCCTACTCTCACTCCCCACCAGGGAAAATGGACTGTGGAGTAAGGACCAGAAGAGAAAGAGGCTTTGAGGGGAAAATAAGGACATCAAAGGGCCTGGGGATTTTTTTTTTTTTGTTTGTTTGTTTTAATTTATACAAGAGCAGGGGTACAGGCCAGATGAGTGGGAGGGTAAGAGGATTCACCAGAGACAGAGCAGGGAACAGACCAGGCAGACTGAGGGGAGCAGTGGGCGAGATAGGAGAGGTCTGCTTGTCATGTGGGTTGCTCCGAGGCCAGCAGGGATCAAACCAGCACTGCAGAGACTGCAGACAGCTCCACAGTCCTGCGCTCAACTGCCTGTGCCAGCAGGGAGGCCCGGGCCTGGATTTTAATCCCAACTGCACTTCTTACTAGGAGTGTAACCTCAGGCAAATCACCTAATCTGTCTGAGCCTTGGTTTCCTCACCTGTAAAATAGGGGTAATAGAGCCTATCTTTTTTTTTTTTTTAAAGATTTATTTTTTATACAAGAGCTGGGGTAACAGGCCAGAGGCACAGGAGGGTGAGAGGATTCACCCGAGACAGAGTGGGGAACAGAACAGGCAGAGGGTCCGAAGTACACTGCTGAGGGGAGCAGCAGGCGAGACAGGAGAGGTCTGGCCCGCCATGTGGGTATCTCCTTGGCCGGCCAGGAATTGAACAGGCGCTGTAGAGGCTGCAGACAGCTTCACAGCTCTGCACTCAACCCACTGTGCCACCGAGGAGGCCAAAAGTGCCTTCCCTAACAGTCCTCTTCAACCTTGATCTGCCCCAGCAGAGAACTGCAGGCGAGCCTCTCCTAGGGAGGAACAGCTTGGGGCCCACACTCAGCCTGGTTGCATAACCTGGGTAAGATATCCAGTAGCCTGCCACCAACTCCACCCCCAACTTGGCACCTTTCGAGAGATTCCGGAGGCCCCACAGCCCATACCCGCTCCCCTGCCAATATAGTGCCAGTTTTGCGGCCTTGAGCCAGCTACTCCCTTCCCACTTTCTCAGCCTCCTAATCTATAAAGTGGAGAGAATGGGAGCCTCTAAGATTGCTATGAGCTGAAAAATGTATTAAAGCACCAAGCATAGTGCCTGCCACTCAGAGATCCTCAAAAAATAGCAGTTATTATTATTTTTCATGTTTCTGAAGTTTGGTTTTGTGGTCTTTAAAAGGGTCCAACCATTGTCCCCCTCTATCAACTCCATGATGAAAGTTCTTTCTAATATCCAACACTGTTGCCTCTCCCTACCTGATACAACCAACCAACTCCCCCAATTCTTTTTTAAAAGCATCCTCTACACCTTTGTTCATGTGTGGCTTCCACCTACAGAACCCTAGGCCTTCCCTGGTAGCACAAGGGGTTAAGACACAGCACTATCAAGCTATCTCCAGTCACTGCAGGGAGCTCCCACATGGCACAGCAGACCTCTCCTGTCTCACCCGCTGCTCCCCTCAATACATCCGTCTGTTCTGCTCACCACTCTGTCTCTGGTGAATCTTCTCACTGCACCCCCTCCACCGCCATACACACACCTCTGGTCTACACCCCAGCTCTTGTATGCATAAACAAATCTTAAAAAAAAAAAAATGTCTCCCTTGCCTTCCTTCAGTCCTTAAGGACCTTAAGGGCAGGGCCAGATGAGCCCATAATCCCCACCTTGACTAGGTTCCTTCACCACACATCATGCTGTTAATACCTGTTCGGTTGATTTTCCCCTTAAGAGTCAATATGGGGGCCTCCCCGGTGGCGCAGCGGTTGAGCGCTGGGTTGCGAAGCTGCCCAAAGCCTCTGCGACGTAGGTTTGATCCCCGGCTGCTCCCCAGCCACCGGAGGAGGGTCCCAATTGGCGCCTGCTGCTCCCCTCAGCAGTGTACTTCGGTCCTTCTGCCTGCTCTGCTCCCCACTCTGGCTCTGGTGAATTCTCTCACTCTCCCGCGCTTCTGACTGTACCCAGTGCTTGTATAAATAAATAAATAAATCTTTTAAAAAAGAGTCAATATGGGTTTCCCCAACTCTAGATAAGAGCAACAGTTGCCATAGGAGTGTCACCCCCAGTTCCCACGGTGCCCCTATTTGGCTGTGGGAGTCAGAAAGAGGCAGCCTGGGGAGCTGTGATGTGCCCTGCAGCAAGGCAACAGGTCTACAAAGAGAAATAGTGATAACAAAGAGTAACATTTATTAAACCTAGGTACACAGCATGATGCTAAGGAAAACAATATGGGAAGCTTAGAGCAGGGAGAGAAAAAGACACAAATCAGGGTTTTGTAAACCACACACAAGATTCTATCCTGAAAACAATGTAGTGGGGGGGCGGGAGGCACTGGGGACGGTGAGATGACAGAATAAGATCTATTAGCCAAGAACCCCTGGCATCACATTAAAACTCTCCCCTCTTCAATCAGCCCTCTGGGAGAGAGTAGTAGAAAGGCATGGAAACAGTAGGATGGATCTCCATGATTAGTACATGATTAGAACAAACTGTAGTGAGTAGGGAGCTAATGGATAGGATGGAGGAATGTCAGTCTGGGCCTCCAGAGTGAGGGGCATCAGAAGGAAGGCTGGTATTCCCCTTCAGAAGGACTATGAACTGTACCAGAAGCATTATGTGGAGTTGGAGTCCTAGGGCAGGTCTGAACTTTGTGACCAACTAGTTATCTGAGTTTACTCCTACACCTGTGAAGGCGGAAAAAATTCCACTCCCTCCCTCTCCTCAGGAGGATCAAATAAAATTTAAAGACCTGATACCCTATGCAAACAATCGCTGTGTCTTTTCCCAGCAAGCACTGGGACCTCTGAATTGTCTGCTGTATTTCCTGTTTCATAATCCGCAAGCCCTGTCTCCCTGCCTAGGCTCACCACAGCAGGGTTGTTGCGGGTCATTTTAGGGGCGTTCACCTTGCATCCCAAATATTAATGCACCCATCCTCCCCCATTTCCAGCTGGAAATAAACTTTCACCTTAAGGGAACCTTCTCCCTCTCCCTCCCCCGCAGGTTACTACAGCAGCACCGGAGGGTCACCCTCTTCACTCTAGGCCCATAGGCCCATCTGAGCCAGAGGAGTCTGGCTCCACCTCAGGGCTCTTCATTGAATAGCTAGCGCTGAAACAAGTGGCGGTTGGCTCTACAGCCTGTCGGAGCGACAGAAACACCTGAAGAACTACTTAACACCGAGGCCCAAGCCACCACGACCAATTAAGCCGTAATCTTGGGGGGGGAGGGGAAGAGTAAGGGGGTAGCACCTGTGTTCCTTTATCGCCCCCCAAAGTGGTTCTGCTACGCCACCAGGATAAAGAGCCATTAGGTTCATGAAATGGATACCCGCCTGGTCCATTTTTACAGGACCACCTCAGCAGCCCCAGGATGGCCTCTGCAGAGAGTTCATCCCTGCCCCTAGAACCCTTGCCTCTCCCAACCTGCCCCAAGGACTCCTCCAACCCACAACCTCATCCCCTCAAGGACCCCCGCGGGAATCCCAGGACGGGCAGCATTTCTGCCAAACTCGGCTCTGCATTGGCAGCATTCCTGCCAACTCGGCTCGGGCCCCCAGTCCGGCCCACTATCGCCCCCGAACCCCGGGCGCGGGCCAGCCCCTCACCGCAATCGTAGCAGGCGAAGCCTAGTCCCGCGGCTCCCCGAGCCAGGTGCGAGTCAGTGCGCCTGCGCGAGCACCGCCCCCGGCTTCCCCAGCCTCCGCCTCCGCCCCCGCCTGCGATTGGCTCCGCACACTCCAAGGCCCGCAGCCTGACAGGTGCCCGCGGCCGAGGCTGCCGCCGCCATGTTTATCATGGGCGTTTGCCCTTAGGGACCAGGAAGTGAAAGGGGATGCTGACCAGAAGGGGACAGGTAGGGCCTCCCTGGTGGCGCAAGGGGTTAATACGCAACCTATGAAGCTGTCCGCAGCCTCTGCAACATGAGCTCGATCCCAGGCCGGCCAGGGAGCAACCCACATGGCCCAGCAGACCTCTCCTGTCTAGGCCCGCTGCTCCCCTCAGCAGTGTATTTCAGTCGGTCTGCCTGTTCTGCTCCCCACTCTGCCTCTGGCGAATCCTCTCACCCTCCCAGGCCTCTGGCCTGTACCCCAGCTCTTGTATGCATAAATAAATAAATCTTAAAAAGAAGGGGCCAGGTAGCGTGGATTCCTGAGCTTACTCTCCGGCTTTCAAATCCACGAAATTCACCTCCTTTTCAGTTCAAACCAACGCTTTTTTCCCGAAGCGTTTCCTTTCCTCTCCATGTCCTTTTTGGTTCTAAAAAAGACGCAAGTTTAGCACCTTCCTCATGATCTGACTGGGCGAACAGCTGAGGCCTATAACAGCAGTGGCACAACCTGTATTTCATGATGCCTGATCGTGAGCCCCTCAAGAGTGGAAGGCGCCTCTTTTGTTGTAAGCACCAGGGTTTAATCCACAGGTGCCAGATCCTCCGAGAGCCACTATGCAGCCCAAATTCCTGGTATTAGTAACAGTGACAATAAGATAGGAGTACTGAGCTCTAGGGGCCCTGATTCCTCCACGCGAAAAGAAAACAGAGTGGCCCAAAAAGAATCCATGGCTACCCCAAACCAGTCACTATGCCAGTGCTGGTTGGTTTAGCCCTAAATTACCTGCCACTTAAGGATGGAATAGAGCCACCATGCCCCGCCCCCCAACCACTTTATTAAAAGAGTAGTTAAAGAGGCCTACCTGGTGGCACAGGGGTTAAAGTCGCAGCACTGTCAAGCTATGAGCTAACCCACATGGCACAGCAGACTTCACCTGTCTTGCCCACTGCTCCCCTCAGCAGTGTATTTCAGTGGCTCCACCTGTTCTGCTCCCTGCTCTGTCTCCGGTGATTCCTCTCACCCCCTGCACCTCTGGTCTAGAGCCCAGTTCTTGTATACATAAATAAAAATAAATCTTAAAAAAAAAAAAAAAGTAGCTAAAATGTGGAACCCCAAAATTCTGGGGGCTATTACTGGAATAAGCATGAGAAACTCACAGCCTAGTTCTTATATTTCTCATTTTGCCTGAAAACTTCCTCCTCCAAACAGCAGAGGTCTTCACCAAGCATGTAAAATTACAATACTAAAATGTAGGCTTCTTACTCTGTCTCTGATTTGAAGTAGGACTCACTCTCCCTATTTCCCACCTAGATGTGACCAAATCTCCCTGGAAGTGGGAGCAGGTAGAGAAACCTGCCAGTCCCAAAGGATGTGTGACCCTGATAAAGTAGCCTAATATCCCTGAGCCTCTGGCGCACCATTAAGCGCCAGGCTGGGTTGAGGCCAGTCTACAGCTCGCCTTGGACATCCATCAGGTGCTGGGATTTGGGGTGAGAGGCAGTTATTAGCAGGGGTGTAAAGGGCATTACATTCCTATTAGTGTTATAACAAATTACCAGAAAAGTAGTGGCTTAAAACAAGGCAAATTTATTATCTTACAGTTGTGGAGAGCAGAAGTCTGTTTCATTGAGTAAAATCAAGGTGTTGTCAGGCTTGTACTCCTTTCTAGAGGCTTTAAGGGAGAACTGTGCATTCCCCTTACCCAGCTCCCAGGAGCTGCTCACATTCTTTGACTTGTGACCCTCTTCCATCTTCAAAGCCAGCAACGACTAATTGATGTTTCTCATGTCACATCACTCCAGCTGTGACTCTTCTGCCTCCCTCTTCCACATTTAAGGACCCTTGTGACTGGGTCCACTCAGACAATGCAGGATGCTCTCTTTAAATTAAGGTCAGCTATTAACAATATTAATTCTCCCTTGCCATGTAAAATGTACTCACAGGTTCCCAGGAAGTAGGCTGTGGACATCTTGAGGATGGGAGGGCATGCCTATCACAGGGGGTTTGCCCCAAGAAAAGTTGCTGTATCCCACAAACAGTTGTTAGAGAGGACAGAGGGTGAGGCTCCCCTCTTGGAGCAATGGGCTAAGAAGTGTTATGTAGATACCCTAGCCCAGTCCAGCTGTTGCCCTCACTAGGCCACTGGCCTAGGTTAGACTTGGGAGAGCAGCTCACTCTAGAAGAAATGTGACATCACCAGAGTGAGTGTGAGAAGCCTTCTCAGGGGGTGCCTGTGCTTTGAAGTTTGACTAGAACCTAGGAAAACTCATGTGGGTTATTGGTTTTGCCGTTTGAGTCAACAGAAGAGGGAATAGGAAAATATGACTGGCATCAAGAAGAGGTTATGGGTTTTAATCACCCAACAACTGGGTTTCACCCAAGTAGCTTCTGGGCTTTGGCCAGTTGGACTGGGTTCAAATTCCACTGTGCCACTTACAGACTCTAACCCTGGGAAAGTGGCCTGTCTCTTAGCCTCCCATTCCTTAGCTATTAAATGAGAACATTATCACCATGTTCTTCATATGGCTATGAAGAAGGAGATATTCTTGTGTAACATTCTAGAGAAGAAAACTGAAACAGTCTTGACAAAAACCCTAGTACTGATTGGTGACAAGGCTAATATTGTGAGTATGAGACTTGAGCCAGATGTGGTTGAATTTTGTCCTTGCCAAAACTGGCTGTTGAATTTGGGTAAGTTACTTAACCTACATAAGCCCTAGGCATAGGGTAGATGTATTGTATACCAATTCTGAGACAAGCAGCTTCTTGCTAGGTAAAGTGGGGATATTATTAGTACCTCCTTCCTAGGGTTGATGTAAACTTGAGGTTAGATGCTCATAAGCAACTTGATTCAGAGCCTGGGGTGGAGGCGCTCCATTCAAACGTTAGGGTAGCCCAACCACCTGAAGGAGTTAGGAGGATGGGGTGTGGGGAATAGGGACCTAACTTGATTAGAAAGGACAATGGGGGCCTCCCTGGTGGCGCAGAGGTTGAGCGCTGGGTTGCGAAGCTGCCCGCGGCCTCTGCGGCGCCGGTTCGATCCCCAGCTGCTCCCCGGCCACCAGAGGAGGGTCCCACATGGTGCGCAGACCTCTCCTGCCGCCCGCGGCTCCCCTCAGCAGTGTACTTCGGTCCTTCTGCCTGCTCTGCTCCCTGCTCTGGTGAATTCTCTCACCCTCCCGCGCTTCTGACTGTACCCAGTGCTTGTATAAACAAACACAAATAAATAAATAACATGCCTCTAAAAAAAAAAAAAAAAAGAAAGGACAATGGGATGCCCTCAGTAGCTGTGAGTAAAGGTGCCAGCATCTCGGTTGGGGTTGGGGCCACAGGACCAGCGGGTTTAGCTAGGTGTAGACATAGGCTATCTGGCTCCTGGCCAGCCCGAGGTGTTTCCCTTTGCCTGGAAACCGGGAGGTGTGGCTGAGGCAGGGCATGGAGGAGAGCGGCTCAACTAAAAAGTGGTGGTTGCAGTCCTGCACCGGACCAGCTCCCCGCAGGCTGAAGAAGACAAGTGAGTGGGGACCTACCCAGGAAGAACATTTCAGAGCGAAGGGCTTGAAACAGTTTTGAGTCTTTATCACCTGCTGGGAGCTTGGGGTTCCCACCCAGGCCAGGGGCAAGAGGTGGGGTGAGGGGTGAATACCTTAGGAAGAGCTCCTCGAAGCCATGATGGAAGCAGGCAGGTGTGGGCTCCTGCCCAGGACCCAAGCCCTGGGTAACCAGGCCCCGGGGACGGGTGGTGGAGACAAAAACAGGGTGTATCCACACACACGCCTCCACCACAGGTCTAGACGAGGACCAGGCCCCAGGAAAAATGCCCGCTGCCTGAGCTTCGGACCATGTATTCATACAGCGGTCTGGTGCCCGGGGAGGGCGTCTGGCCCCTGCTGCAGGCCCTCACCTACACCTACCTGCCCGCCCCGCTGCTGCTGCCCCCCATCCAGGCCCACAACTTCTGCAGCCGGCCCCCGGGCCTGGGCGCCGGCGAGTGGGCAGCCCCGCGAGAGTACCACTGCTTCCACCACGCGGCAGCGCCCCCGGCGGCCGTGCCGCCCTGGTGGGCCTTCCCGCAGGCCTACGCTGCGGCCCTGCGCCCGCCGTTCTCCGCACCCAGCTACCTGGGACCGTCGCTGCCGGCGGCGCCGGGGCCCGCCACGGCGGAGGAGTGGGCGCCGTGGCCCGAGGGCGGCAGCCTGCAGGCGGAGCTGCGCTGGGGCCGCGTGGAGCGCGCGTCGGACCCGCGCCTCGAGCTGCCCGACTACGTGCGCCGGGAGCTGCGGCGCGCGTACGGCACGTACCCGCGCACCGACGTGCGCGTCACCTACCGCGCCGGCGAGTTCCTGCTGCGCGCCGCGCCGCGCGTCCGCGAGCCCGAGTACCGCGTGGAGAGGCGCGCGCTGCGCCCGGCTGCCGGCAGCGCCAGTGACAGCCCCGGCGGCAGCCGAGGCCACAGCGGCCCCGCCGCGGAGGTGACGGAGCGCGGCCGCCGGAGGAAGGGGAAGGGCCTGAGCTGAGGGCGCCGCAGGACCCGGGGGCTCGCCCCCTGCCCCGGCTCTTGCCGCTCTCGGCGAAAGCGGGAAGACAGCAGTGCCCCCGGGGAGGGTACCCCTGTCACCTGCCTTTTTCCTTTTTATACCGAGACTGCCCGCCGCCCACCTCCTGCACGTCCTTGATTACGCTGCATGCGGGAAGGGCGAGAAAAGATCAAGGATTTCTGGGTGGGGGTCCCGTTGCTTTCTCCTGGGACGAGGGTGTGGGGTGAAAAAAGGGCTGGACCCTTTATTTTCTCACTCCCTCCTTCTCCCCACCTGCCCCTCTAGAAACTTGCCCCGCAGTTAGCCCCCACTTTCCCTTTTTCCCCTCCTCCCTCTGACAAAGCTCCCCCATCCCCAGCTTGTAACGAAAAGTAAATAAATCTTAAAACAAACAAACAAACAAAGTAAATAAAGGAGTGAAGTCAGGTGTTTGCTGCGAGATCATTTATACGTTTTGAGGTGGGGTATTTACCCATCTGTGTAATGAGAGCCTTACTTCCCTGCCCCTCCTGGCAGGGCCTGGCTCCTCTTCACCAGCTTTCCTTCATTGTGCAGCCCGGTATCCTAGCTTTCCAGATTCTTCCCACCTCCAGAGAGATTCTGAAGGTATAAACTCTTATGTTGACGTGTGATAGGCATTGCTGAGGAAGGGATGCCTAAGACACAGATTTAAACACTTTCTAGGCATGTAACTAGCCTCAGTTTCTTTGCTGTAAAAAACATGTAAACACATCCGACGCTGCCTGGAAAGTTCACTAGGGTTGAAATTGAAGATGAATTTCTCCTGTATCCTGAGTCTCAGTAACAGTCTTTAATAGACCGACATTGACAATATTCTGAGAGTTTCTTGGAAGGTTAGGTCACATATCCAATTTTAACTAAGTCTGATGCTCAGGCTTTATAAATTTGACTCCTCTTGGAATTGCTTTGACTGAACTTCCATTTGTAGCTGGCCAACATCTACCTGTGAATATGGGTATTTATCAAAGTTATAGGCAACTCGATCACTGCTGTATTTACAAACTTGAGAGAAGGTCTCTGAAACCTCAGCACTTGGGAAAGATGTCGATGTGTAGTTGACTTAAATATTTTTTGCACCAAGGAGCTTATATTTTTCTCTTTACCCTGGTTTCTAGGAGGCTCAGATCCAAATCCAGATTTGTTTAATATCTTTTGTGTAAAGCCTGGGTCCTGAATCCTTAATTCCTAGTTTCTTTTATTTTTATTATTATAAAAACACAGGTAGTGTGGTGGATCTGCTGCATTACTCACTTGATGTTTCTGATCCAATTTCCTCATCATAAACAGGGATGCAGCTGTTACGACTCCTCTCAAAAGGTTACTGAAAAGATGCCATGAAATCCTGCATACAAAGAATTTGCTACACTGCCTGGCATGTACTTAGTATACAAATGTTAGTGTTTGTTTTTAAATAATTGCAATACAGAAATATATAATATAGAAAGTTAAAGTTTTCTAATATCCCTCACCCCCAAATGATCGCTACAGTCCAATCTATTATTTTTCTTTCTTTCTTTCCTGTGTATATAGTATTGTGGTTACATAAATTGCACTGTATTGCTTGTTGCAGTACATTTCATGCCATTGCACATAAAACTACCTCTTTCTGTAATGGTCACCCTGTATTCTGTAGCATTTGTATTCTTTCCAGTTTTTACTTATTACAAGTCCCTCCAACAAATTTCTTGAATGCCTATTTGTTCTAGGCCCTGGGGATACAGTGGTGAATAAGACAACATGGCAGCCTTCTGGAGTTTGTATTTTAGTGGGGTGATATGGGCAGGGGGGCAATAAGTGAAAGCTAAGTTGTTATAAGTACTACAGCAAGAATCAGAAACTGGAAGGAAATGCAAGTGGGGTAGTGGATCTTAACTTAGAATATGGCGATCAGGGAAGGCTTCTCCGAGGAGGTCATATTCAAGCTCACATCTAAAGAATAAGAAGAAGCTGGCTACGCAAAGAGAAAGGTGAGGGGGAAGCCAGGCAGAGGGTATGGTGGGTAGAAAAACCCCAAGGAGTAAAAGTTATCTTTGTTCACTCAACAGACATTTGAGAGCCCACCATACACCAGGCACTGTTCTAGGCACTGGGGCTACAGCAGAAAACCAGACCAATTCCTCTCCTCATGGAGCTTACTATAGAGGTGTAATGTGGATGAGTGGAGACTGACAACAAGCAAATGGGTGAATGTATGGTATAATGTCAAAAGTGATTGGGGTGCTGTTTTCAATAGGAGAGATAGGGGATGTTTTTCTGAAGAGGTGACTCAAGTGGAGACCTAATAACAACCTTTACAAGTCATTTGGATGGCTGGGGGAGAAGAACAGGTACAACAACGCTGTGACTGTTGTGTCCTTGTCTTGTGAGCTGGCAGGTCAGTGTTGTAAATGAGGTTAGAAATGAGACTGGATCCTGTGGTGAGACCATGTTGGGAATTTTGGACTTTATTCATATGGGTAGAGGGTTATGAGCAGGGGAGAATGATCAAAATTTTTAAAATTCATCCTATTCTTGGGCCTCCCCGGTGGCGCAGCGGTTGAGCGCTGGGCTGCGAAGCTGGCCGCAGCCTCTGCAGCACCAGTTTGATCCCTGGACCCCGGACGAGGGTCCCGCATGGCGCGCAGACCTCTCCTGCCGCCTGCTGCTCCCCTCAGCAGTGTACTTCGGTCCTTCTGCCTGTTCTGTTCCCTGCTCTGGCTCTGGTGAATTCTCTCACCCTCCCGCGCTTCTGACTGTACCCAGTGCTTGTATAAATAAATAAATAAATCTCTTAAAAAAAAAAAAATTCATCCTATTCTGAATGCATGTGGAAAAGAAACCTAGAGGGGCCATTGTGGAAATAGAAGACCAGTTAGGTAACTTTTGGAATAAAACAGACAAAATAAGATAGCTTGATCTTATTTGGAAATGGTGAGGGTGATGAGAAAATAAATGTCCTCAACTCTGCATCATCGTTCACATATAGAAATTTAATTGTAAAGTCGTAGAATGAGAAATGCAACCTCAATAAAAATGAAAATTCTTAAGAGAAAAATGAGTCATTGGACAATGATATCCTAGTCAACAAGCAGAGCCAGCACCCAGATGTTTGGTTCTAAAGTCCATTCTCTACCAAAAGGATACAGGCCCCTGACCAATTCCAGGGCTGCTGCACAGAGGATACAAGATGAGCACCTTGTATGAGGATACAAGGAATGATTTGTGCAGGAAAATAAAGGACTACTCCAAGATGTCCAAAGTCCAAAAGAACCAGTGTGAAGGGCCTGCCACTGGCCAGATTGGGGACAATTTAAGAATTAAAACAGGCTCGGCAGACCTCTCCTGCCTCGCCCACTGCTCCCCTCAGCAGTGTATTTCAGTCATTCAGCCTGTTCTGTTCCCCACTCTCTTTGGTGAATCCTCTCACCCCCCACACTTCTGACCTACACCCCAGCTCTTGTATGTATAAATAAATAAATAAATCTTAAAAAAATACAAATAATCAGGCCTCCCTGGTGGCGCAAGGGGTGGGGCAACGCACTATGAAGCAGTCCTCAGCCTCTGCAGCACGAGTTCCATTCCCGGCCGGCTAGGGAGCAACCAACATGGTACAGCAGACCTCTCCTGCCTCGCCCGCTGCTCCCCTCAGCAGTGTGTTTCAGTCAGTCTGTCTATTCTGTTCCCCACTTTGTCTCTGGTGAATCCTCTCTTCCCCCTCATCTCTGGCCTGTGCCCCAGCTCTTGTATGCATAAATAAATAAATATTTTAAAAAAACAAATAATCATAGTAAAAAATACAATCTACTGAATAAAATAAGGATACATAAGTCCATACTAGTATTAAATAGATAAATGAAAACTCTTCAGTAAAGGAATAATGATATTAGAAAATCACCATTCCAAACATCATTGCAATAATTGATTCAGTTTGAGAATCATTCATGTATACTAAACTCAAGAGAAAAAGGAAAATATGCGCCAATAAGATATTTATTCACTAAAAAGTGAAAATAGTAATTACCAGTATAGTAGGAGAAACTAATGGGTAACTCTTTAACCCCACGGCTGTAGTCCCTCTTAAAGTCTTCTGTATTTAATGAGTTTCCTCAAAAAGTCAGGAGAGGTCTGCTGCGCCATGTGGGTTGCTCCCTGGCCGGCCGGGGGATTGAACTCATGCTGCAGAGGCTGCGGATTGCTTCATAGTGCGGTGCTTAACCACTTGCACCACCAGGGAGGTCCCTGTCTTTTTTCTTTCTTTTTTTTTTTTTTTTTTTTAAGATTTATTTATTTATTTATACAAGCACAGGGCACAGTCAGAAGCACGGGAGGGTGAGAGAATTCACCAGAGCCAGAGCGGGGAGCAGAGCAGGCAGAAGGACTGAAGTACACTGCTGAGGGGAGCAGCGGGCGGCAGGAGAGGTCTGCGCGCCATGTGGGACTCTCCTCCGGTGGCCGGGGAGCAGCCGGGGATCGAACAGGCGCTGCAGAGGCTGCGGGCAGCTTTGCAACCCAGCGCTCAACCGCTGCGCCACCGGGGAGGCCCTCTTTTTTCTTTTTTTTAAGATTTATTTATTTATACAAGAGCTGGGGTACAGGCCAGAGGTGCGGAAGGGTGAGAGGACTCACCAGAGACAGAGCGGGGAACAAAACAGGCAGAGGGACCAAAAGCACTGCTGAGAGGAGCAGTGGGCAAGACAGGAGAGGTCTGCCGCGCCATGTGGGTATCTCCCTGGCCGGCTGGGAATCGAACCCGCACTGCAGAGGCTGTGGACAGCTTCACAATGCTCAACCCAATGTGCCTGCGCCAGTGGGGGGTGCCTGATAGCACTGTCCTTAACCCCTGATAGCCACCAGGGAGTCCCTGCTTTCTGATATTTTAAACAAGAGAAAAGGCAACATCAACTCAGCAGTAAAGCACAATTATGAAGATACATCAAATAAACCTCAATTGGGAAACAAACCCATTGGTCTGAAGGGTC